ACAGTCACAATGATTATCCTTTAGCCCCAGAGTCTATGACAATCACTGATGACATGTTATCTCATTATTCAAAGAAACTCAAAGAAAAGTTATGTATCAAAGGACAGCCTGTCAGAAAACTCGTTCCAAATCTGTATGACAAGCAAAAGTATGTTCTGCATTATAGGAACTTACAGTTTTATCTGAGTCAGGGTATGAAACTGTCTAAAATTCACAGAGCTATTCAGTTCAAACAGTCCACATGGTTGAAGCCCTATATAGATTTTAATACCCAGAAAAGAAAAGAGGCTAAGAACGAGACAGATAAAGCTTTCTTTAAATTGGCTAATAACTCAGTGTTTGGAAGGACAATGATGAATGTGAGGAAGCATGTCAATGTAGAACTAGTCAATTCATCCAAACGTTTGAAAAAATTATGTGCTAAACCCACCTTTGAGGCGTTCAAAATATTCAATGAAGATTTAGCAGCTGTTCACCTGAAAAAGACTAGCTTGTATCTGAATCAACCTGTCTATGCAGGCTTTTCTATTTTGGACCTGTCAAAGATTGTCATGTATGACTTTCACTATAATCATATTAAGCTCAAGTATGGTGAGAAGGCACAGCTGTGTTTCACAGATACAGATTCCTTGTGCTATTTAATTGAAACACCGAACTTGTACACTGATATGGCAGAATATCGGCATATGTTTGACACCAGTAACTATGATAAATCACATCCACTCTATTCCAAAACCAATGCCAAGGTGCTAGCCAAGATGAAGGATGAACTCGGAGGTGTCCCTATGGAGGAGTTTGTTGGTATTAATCCTAAACTATATTCCTTATTATATAAGGGAAAAGAGAAGCAAACGGCTAAGGGAGTGAGCAAAGCAGTAATCAAGAAACAATTAAGGCACAGCCTGTACAAAGACTGTTTGTTTGATCAAAAACAATTTAGACACAACATGAATCAAATTCAGAGTCAAAACCATCAACTCCACACTGTCAGTATAAACAAAATCAGTTTAAGCCCTTATGATGATAAAAGATTTGTTTTGAAAGATAAGAATTATACGCTAGCTCATGGACACTATAAAATTCCTTCTACCAATGTGTAAAGTGTTTTAACTACATAAGAACCATTTCATGCCTTCAGTGTTCTTGTATTGTATGTTTGTATATAACGATCCCTGGTAAAATGTTTCCTATATTTTATCTACATCTGTATGCATGTCATATGTAATTAAACTTTCATATGTATTCATTATGAGGTATTATGAGGTCACCTCACAGTTGTAAATACCGAGTGTAAATACCTGACCCATTTCCCCCAGTAACAGCATTCACAGCAATGTTGACACAGTACATAGTTTTATTGCAACTGGGGAAGGTAACGTTTACTGTACTGGGGGTCTATGGACTTTATGTGATTAAAACATTATGTTGCTTGTTGTACAGTTGTATCACCATGGAATGACTTATATGTGAATAAATACACACATTAAACGTCGATTGTCTGTTATTTTTGTAGTTGTTGAACACTTGCTGAGGGAATTTCTTACTGCAATGATAATCCGACAGCTATTCTGTATCAGTTTCACATAACCACAAAGATTGATGTAATTACATATGAAAAACAGACAGAAATGTAAAACTGTTAACACACGGTTTATTTCATTGAAACACAAAAATCAAATATTAAGACAATAACAGTAAAAATGTACATGGAGCGATTATTCAGTGTCTGTGTCATCATCATCATCAACATCTGACTGTTCACGCTCTAGATCTTCAGCCTCAGAAAGATCTACATGAGACAGAATGTCTTTGACAACAGGTTTCATCCACTTGTTGATTTTAGCAGACAATCCTTTGGAATCAGTATCGGGATCCATAGCTCTCTCTTTCTCCAGGATGGGCTTGAAGAAGGGTCCATATCCAAAGTAACTCACATATCGGATAGCTGTTGCCATTCAATCTAGAAAGGTTGGCTTCAAATGATGCTGAATGACAGCCTGCTCCTCTTTTATAGGCTGTGGGGTGTTGACTGTTTCAAGTACATTAGGTTGTAGTCTTCCTGATTCCAAGGTAGTAGGACGCAAGTCGATTGTCAGATTGCCATAGGGTTTTTCAACAGCTTCTTTATACACAGACATAAACAGATCAGTATTGTTTGGATAGATAGATGCGCCTGGCAAACAAGTAGACTTGATGTCTGTCCACAGGGGAATTAAACAGTGTCACGTAATGAGAATTCAAAGCAATGTCACGTGACTCCTTACCTCTGGGAAATAGATTTTGTAACAGTAAGAAAATAATGACATTCTTATGGTGAGAGGTTCGGGTGAACAGTTGGGAGATGCGTTTATCATCTTTACAATCATGTTGTCATCCAGATAGTTATCCTCGTGCAGGTTGTAAGGAATCCCCTTCACAAACGTCACATAGGGTAACTGTCCACTGATTATCTGATACAGAGGCTGCCACTCCATATAACACCAGATAATGTTATTGGGTACAGGTTGGATGCGATTCTGTAGTAAAATGTTGTACACAAACATAGTCTTGCCACTTCCACTTGGACGCACCACCACAGTATTGGATGGAATGGTAAAGTAGAACTGTTCTTTTAGTGCTGGTGGAGGTGGAGGAGGAGACGTGGGAGGAGGAGGAGGTAAGGTTCCAAGAGGAGGAGGAGGAGGATATGAATGCATCTGTCTCCTATGTCTATGCATATTATCATTTCTAGAGAACTGTCTCCCACAATCAGGACACGATGTGGACTCCGTGACGATAGAAATGCAACTGAGACTGGAATAAGAGGAAGACCCTTATATACTCTGAAGATCAGTTTCTGGGATCCAACTGTTAAACTTTTTGGAATAACCCATCCATTTCACAAACACCTCTTTTACGCAAGCTCGCTTCCTTTTCTTCAAAACCTTCTCCACTCTCCACACTGTGTCTGCGGGCTTGTCTACTCTCTGTAGTTCATTTGCATAGAAACTGCCTTGAACCGGATCATCAGCCATATCTTTCAACAGATAGATAGGCATACCATCACGATGGAACCTTCTTCTAATAATAAAGATTTCCTCAGTCCATTTTTCTTGATAGTGTCAATGTATTGTTCTTTCCATACCAGAGCTTCATTCGTTTGATTAATATCTGAGGGTGATCTTTCATTCAATGATCTGTGAGGTCTGTGGTTTTAACCCCGGACGAGGTCTTGTAAAATATCCAAATAATGATACGTTTGTTTGTAGGTGAAATATCTGTACATCGTGGTCTTGAGGGTCCGTATCACTCTCTCGGCATAAGAAGCCTTGGTTTCATTCTGTGTGGCATAGTAAGTGAGGCCCTTGTTTCTTAAATAAGAACTCATTTTCTTATTTTCAAATTCTCCCCCTTTGTCTGATCGTATAATTTGTGGCAGGGTGGCGTGGAAAAATATCTTCATCAAGGCCTTAATGACCGCATCCGGTGTTTTATTTTTAAGGGGCTCGACCCACAGAAAACGTTTAAATACATTTATAGTTATGAGTAAGTATTTCACACCGTCATTGTCCGAGGCTATATTAGATACATCAGCCAAGTCAATATCCCATCGAGCATTGATCCCACTTCATAGCCTATCAAAACTACAGAGACGGGCCTAGGTTACCGTCAATAACAAACGTGCTTGTGTGTTTATGTTAACCCGTGGATACAGAGGACTGCCTTCCTCAAAGGTTTGTTTACACAACTGTTTGCCTTCAGTGGAGGAGACTGTTATGTGACCTAGTTCGTCCTCGTGTTTACAGTAACAAAACAATTCTCCTTTACCTATGCAACTAATGTAAACATAGAAGAACTGACAACATTGCACCCTTCTTATTTTAAAGAATTTCATACATACTGTTGTATAGTTTTAATTATACTGATTAGGCTATGTTTGAATGTATAACCGTTGGTCTAACTTAAGCCAGGGTTTTCCCAGATTGCAACACAACCTGTAATGTACTACGCTGGTAAACTTTTTTTAGCGTGACGTCATTCAGATACCTCCGTGCTTGGGGTCAATGGGTGCGAGCCGACCAGTCCTTGTTTTAGCCCTTTAATGCCGAGCGCCAGACAGGGTAACAACAAGTACGACCTTTTTACGTCTTTTGGTATGATGCGGCCGGGGATCGAACCCCGGACCTTCCGCTCTCTGGGCGGATGCTCTATCACTAGACCACAGGGCGGGCCCCATATGAAGGTCACACTGTTAAATTCTTAAGACAGTGATTAATATCACCTGGTATTATCAATCAAAACTATGGCTAGTCCTTGATCTTGCGAGACTATAAATTATGATACATAACAAAGTACCATTAAGCCACATTGTCAAGTTTGTGTAAGTACTTCCGGTTTGCTGAAAACTAGTTAATATGCCAGGTGTTTGCGGAAAAGTGGGCGTATCCTTCCCCACCGGTGCCTCACATCATTTGTTTCACTGTGCATTCAGCAACATGCCATTTGCATAGCGGTAGTCTGTTGATACTCGAGTCCAGACACGGAGTAAATCAGTAATTAATACGCCGTCCAGTACATAACCATCCTGTCAACCAAGTCACAGAGCCTGAGCCAGAGCCTAAGTCGACCCGTTCGAAAAGAATTCGTTACTTCGGCCAATTCTAACCCGCCTCCTCCACCTCATACTATGTGATCTTAACCAAATAAGGACCCCTAAAAAATCCTTTAAACTTTGAGAACCAGAAGACTGAAACATGGTAGTAGGGATTGGCACCATATGTAGTAACATGAGTACTTGGAGCTCAACATACATGTTCGTATTTTACGATTATGTAAAGTTTGATCTCCAATCTTCTCGCCACCTCGGGTTAACATGTAATACTGTTGCCCACATATCCAGGTGAGCTGTTGCGTCACGGTACTTGTATTATATATCAATAGACGCTTTACCCCAAACACGCTGAAATTAGTTTCATACTAAACATGAGTTATGCATATCATTTAGGAAGCAGCATATATACCAGAAGGAACGGTCACTGTGACATTGCCTGGAAGAATCCCTGGGCCGGCTGACCTGAAATAATAGAATATGGTTTTAAACTACTAAAACATCCTGATACCATATATGCATGACCAACCAAAAGACAATGATATTCTGCTGTGAATTGAGACATATGTAATGGTCCTCATGATGAACACATGATATATCATATAAATACTTACGAAAGATACCATTTGGTGTTAGGCCTGGCTGGAAAAGGCAAAATCGTTTCTGAAGTGACCCCTGTCCAGTCGCTGCACTGGATTCCTTTCTTCTTAGGTTTATAACAATACAATGGAACACCATAATGTTTGTCTGTTAAATTACAAATTTCACCCATTTTCAAAAATCTGTTATCCATGTATCCAGAGGTCGACTCTGTTAAGTTGTTCACATTAAATAAGCATTCGATTCTCTTTCCTGTATATCCATTGTTTAATTCCCTGTATACAAAAGCCATTTTTTCTCTCGAAGATAATATCGCTGCACGGATGACAGCTTGTCCGGTCCACAAGATCCGCAGAACACCAGTATATGTCCCGTTGTCATGGTCAATAACAGTTCCGGCTGAAGCAGCTCCCTTACTTTTGTCTCGCATCCATACAATAAGCAAATCGCCACCTCGGGTTTTTGGTCTATTCCTCTGGTCAAATAGCACAATCTTCAAACTGATTGTTTCATTTAGTGCATACACAACTTTTGACTCAACGAGTGACATCTTTGAGGTTATTGCGGACGCATGACTATTTATATCATTTATTTCGGTATCGTTTATTTCTGGAAATATTTGTATTTCCACTAAGTGAGTTTGCTTTTGGCTTCCAGTTCTTGAACGGTATGGGGGCTCTGGTAAGATTTGAAATCTGCAAGAGAAAATTCTTTGTTGAGTAATATGCCATACAAAACAGGTAAACATGTTCCAGACATTGTGACATGATGTACATTTTGATTTCAATTATGATATTCATTTCTGTCACATCCAGTGGAGATTCCGGGTCAGAAATGGTCCCAGTAACCCATGCTTGTCATAGTAGCTGAATAGACATATAGGATCACAACCTCGAGCTTTCTGTCTGTACTTGTAGTCAAACAGAACAATGTGCAGATTGAATGTTCAGCAGTAAGCGAGGGTCAGTGTGATCACAATTTTCTGTCTCATATTTGGTAAGCCAAAATATTGTAGCTTTTAAAAAAATGAGACATAAAAAGGTCAGGAAAGAAACTTATATTAAAAAAAATACTTGTATATATGTTTTACCGATTTGTCAAAGAAGAAGATAAAGAACCCCTATATTTCGTATGACTATGGTTAATCTGTCATGGATGGTGGGTATTGCCAAACACAGCTTTCCAAGTTTGTTTTTTGTAACTTGCTTTACTTTGTCATTTGATATTATATCATACTTACTCGTCATATCTGTCCCACAGTAAGAACAAGGATGTGGTCAGAAGGGCAATAAGTAGATATATCAGACGTTTTGTACTGAACATCTGAAACAAAATGAAAATGTAAAAGTCATGACAGATATGTTTTATAAACGTTTCAAAATATAGAAGGTAAATGACCCCTAAACTCTTAGGTATCTGCTATAATAAATGAAGATGATTTGTTCTTGTATTGTTGTTCATTATGACAGTCCATGGCGATCCCTGATTTTTGTTGTTTCCAAGCAACAGAGGCTTGTCATAATGGATTGTGTGGTCAGGCTCGGTCAATTGGTTGATTGTGTTTGTGGTTTTTTCCACCATACCATGAACGCGGTGTCAAAGCAGGGAGGCGACTAACGGGATCGGGTGGTCAGGCGCGCTGACTTGGTACAGAACAAACTGACTCACTTTCTCATTACAGGGTGCCGTCATACAGATTGAGTGTATTTCCTTGTTATATTCAGCGGCTAGTTGTCCATTTCCTAAAGGACGCTACTTTTAATTGACAGGCTTGGGGGCGCTGTGTTTTTCTAGGTTCTCTTCGAGCAGACGACGCGACGGCTCGTGGTACATAGGCCCTCGCACAGGGTACACCACACTATATGCCCCGAAGGATCTGTTGGCAACGCATTTATCTTACCGATATTCTTTCATGCAGGTCCGCAGTTTCACCGAGTAAGCAAAACTCATAGCAGACGACGCAGTGAGTAAGTTGGGTTTAATGCCGCTTTTATCATTATTCCAGTTATATCACGGCGTGTCGGCTTAATATGGGAGGAAAGCCCGAAGTGATGCACGTCTCAGACGTTTACCTCTTCGGTGAAACCCACGAGCACGGGTATGGTGCTGACAAACCTAGAAACATAATCGGGACGAACCGGGATTCGAACCATAACAATCATAGGTTTCTAGCGTGTCCAAGGGACGCAACTCTGCACAGCGAATCGCGGCGCCTAAGACGACTGGGCCACCCGTGCCTCCCAGACGACGCAGACGAATCGATACTTATTCGAGATATGTAAGTTACCTACAATGTGTTCCCATTGATTTCTCAGCGGGTAACATGAGCAGGTTACACAGAATATAATTTCCCGCTCGTTAACCAATCAGAAGCTAGTATTTTTATGTAAGGTGAAATAAAAGAAATGTCAATATCATACAGCTAGTATGATCGTGAGAACAAGTGGGTGCAATGTGATGTGCGGTGAGCAGCTGATTAGATACCAAATCGTTAATTTGTTGTTATTTGAGCTGTTTGATGAAATCGTCACCTGTAATTAGTTGTGTGCATGTAGCACTTGATAGCTACCGCAGTGAGTTAGTTAATACCAAGGGCCTGACATGGTCCTTAAATGACCGATTGTCAATAAATGTTTGCAAATGTTTGATCATATCTATTATCAAATTCTATAAGATCAGATCATTGAGCTCGCTTCCGCTGCACTAAAGATCTGAGGACATCACATTACAGGTCACGTCAGAAGAACCATTCATCCGATCAATAAGAGTGTGATACGCCCACCTCTTCGCAAACACCTGGTGTCATCACTATATATAGTTGATAGTGATTCATAAAAATATGTTCATGATACAGTTGGAATCGTCCAATCAAACCCATTTCTTATGACTATAGAAAGGGTTCTGTCGTTTCTATTTAATAACACGATGGACGGGATCGCTTGGCAAGACTCGCAGACTAAGCTGATGTATCGTATTCTCATTGCGTAGATCGATGCTCATTATGTTGATCACTAGATTGTCTGGTCCCGACTCTATTACTACTTACCGCCGTCATATAGCACAAATAGAGTGACGTAAAACAACAACAAAAGAAACAACCCATGTCAGGTTTCACTTGTGTGGCAGATAAGGGAGTTTGATTGGAACGATTTATGAAGACCCAAGTGTATCCGTCATTGTGTTCATTGCTGTGGCTACAGAAAGTATTATTTATTATAAACCACACAGGATGCTATTTTTTCACCATTTATTCTGTATGTTATCATATGAACAGGGTTTTGAAGTGTCTTATATGCTAAATAACAGACATAAACGCATAATAGAACACACATCTGTGCACTAGGAAATAGTATAAATCATTGTAAAAACAGAAACTAAATCACTGGATTGTCTGGTCCAGACTCGATTATTTACTGACCGCCGTCATATAGCTGGAATATTGCTGAGTGCGACTTAAAACAACAAAATTACACCTGTACTTGCTTGCTTAATTGCCCCTTACAAATACGAAGTAAAGTCATAATATATCGTCAATATTGGTATGAAAAATACTATTCCATAAAAAAATTCTATCACTGGCCAGTGACAAACATTAGTGGTATTAGAATAAGAAAACATTATTAAATACAGTATAACGTGATGATGTGTAAGCATACAAAAAAAACTAGACATATAAACCTGCACACCTTACTTCAGTTTCTGTACTGAACTTGGGCTTTTTACGAGCAGTACCTTCTTTTCATCCTGCGTATCATTCTACCTGTCGTATCGACTTGGCCCGTATGGCTAAGCAATTTCGGCTGACATGTCTCTCTTTGCTACTCTTGCGTGTGAGTAGGGTACACATATCTATTGTGAGTTTGGTATTCACATACTTTCTATTTTTGTATTGATATGATTTCTATTTTCATATATTGATATAATTTCATTTTTATCCTTGGCTGCTCTGTAAATATACTCAACAACAAAAGTTCCTGTGACACCAATATTTTTTACTTTTATACAAGCCCCATTCATTTCACTATCCAAGATTTGGTATAAAAACATGTGTGTTAACGGGATTCCATATGCATTGTTTAGCATCGTGCTGACCATGACCACTCAGAAAAACAACAAAATTACGCAATTATTCAACATAACGAAATGCCGCGCCTGTCCGAAAATGAGCGCCTGCGAGCCATTGGTATGCTTGAAGCAGGATCGAGTTAACGTGATGTTGCAAGACAACTTAACGTCCACAGAAACACCATTTGTTTATGGCAACGTTGGCAACAGACGAATGCAGTCAGAGACCATCCTCGGAGTAGCAGGCCAAACGTAACCAATAATCGACAAGACAACTGGATTCAAAAAAACACACCCACGAAATCGATTCCAGCCAGGAACAGTGACTGCAAGAAGCATCCCTGGCCTTCGACGAATATCTTCACAAACCGTACGTCGCCGCCTCAGATGTGCAGGGATTGTCGCCAGAAGACCCGACAGACGTCCCATTTTGACAGGAAACCTGCGTCAAGCACGTCTACAGTGGTGCAGTTAGCGTCTACGCTGGACGGCCATGCAGCAGGGACAAGTTCTATTCACTGACGAGTCTCATTTTCACCTCAGCCACAGCGATGGACGGATTCAAGTGTACCGACGTCGAGGTGAACGTTACGTCAATCATTGTGTCATGGAAGAAGATCGGTTCGGGATGCGGCAGCGTGATTGTATGGGGTGGGATTACAGCAAGACAGAGGACCCGTTTGATAGTGGTAGAGAGAAATCTCAATAGACAGCGCAACCGCGACGAGATCATCAGCCCTGTTGTTCTACCGTTTTTGCGTCGTCATGGCCCAGGCATTACCTTTCAACATGACAACGCCCGGCCTCATCTTGCTTGATTTGGTTAGGATTCCCCCTAACAAAACAACGTGAATGTCATCCCATGGCCGGCTCGCTTCCCTGATCTCTCACCAATTGAGCACACGTGGGATGAGATGGATCGGCGCCTTTGACGTCTACCACGTGTTCAACAGACACTCCAGGAACATCGAAACATGCTCCAGCAGATATGGATAGATATCCCACAGGACTTTGTGCGACGCCTGGTCCATTCCATGAGACGAAGATGTGTTGCTTGCATCGCAACCAGAGGTCGACACACACGCTATTGATTTGTAAATTGACATTTTGGCATGTTCATGGTTTTTTTATGAAATCACACATTTTCTGAAGTCAGTATGACAAATTAAACCATTTGAACACTTTCAAGAGTCTTTTATCTGTTGCAAACCGAAATTGTTTCAGATTTGGTAAAAACATAACTTTACATTAAATCTTATTCATGTCACAGGAACTTTTGTTGTTCAGTATATATTCGTGTCTCCAAGGCCAATGCTGGGCGGTGGGTGTATTTTTAATTCATGCCATTTTTGCCATGTTACTCTTTTTCATCCAGTAACACGTTAATAAAATAGTTTTCTTCTTCTTTTCTGTATATAAACTAGTGTCCAAAAGAAACGATACCACCTGTTTGCAACGACATAAAAGAAAAACTAAACAATGCAGAAGTTTAGGATTGGTGTTATGCTCTTGAGAAATCCTTTCACAACATCTGTACAAAAATTTCATTTCAATAAAATCTGTACAACCAATATGACAAGCCTTTAAAGATGGGTGGGGTCGAAAAATGAACATTTCGTTAGAGCACTGATCACAGAAACAACGGGAAATGTCACACCACACGTCTCAAAGTCAAGTCAGTAGCGGGTATGTCCACCGTGAGCATCAATACATGCCAGAACACGCCTACGGACTGATGACGTCAAACGTCTGATGACGTTGGGAGTGATGCGTTGCCATTCCTCGAGGAGACATCGTTCCAAGTCCTGGACGTTGACTGGAGGCACACGGCGACGTCGGATTTGCCGATCGAGGTGGTCCCATAAGTGCTCGATGGGATTCATGTCCGGTGAACATGCAGGCCATGGCAAAACCTGTACGTTGGCGTTGGCAAGGAAGTTCTGTGTCAATCTTGCTGTGTGTGGCCTTGCATTGTCATGTTGGAAAAGAAGTCCACGAGGCTGTTGCTGAATAAAGGGCACCACAACAGGCCGTAGGATGTCATCAAGATAACGCTGTGCATTCAGGTTTCGACGAATTACGACGAGCATCGTGTTGACGTCACCACAAAAGCCACCCCAAACCATTAACCCTCCACCTCCAAACGGCCGGACCTGTTGGATACAGTTAGGCGCCAAACGTTCACCAAATCGTCGGTATACAAGCTGCCGTCCATCGTTTCTGAAGATAAGGAATCTGCTCTCATCAGAGAACATAAC